GCCGTGTGACCAGGGCGTGGCTGCAGCGGCACCGGTCAGGCCACGTGGGGCAACAGCGTTACGGGCGATGGAGGCCACGGCTTCGTGACCCAGGCTCAGGGTGTGGCCAGGCAGGTGCCAGGAAGGTGCCAGGTTTTGAAACCTGAATGCTCCTAACAACGTCCTTTCAAGCACGTGGACAGCAAAAGGGCAGGAGGAACGAAACCACCCACAGGGGGATTTTAAGCCACCCCCTCGGGGACCACGAGGCGACTGGTTAAAAAGAAATGGTGGCTCCTTCCCGGCCACGGCACAGGGTGCCCTGCCGCTCAGTGAACGCGCACTCTCTCCTCGTCCATGAACGCGCACTCTCTCCTCTTTGCTGTGACCCTCAGGCCCGTGAAGAGCCCGCTGGGCTGTCTAGTCTGCAGCTCTGCTTTCTACGTGCACACAGCACAGGCCCGAGGATCGCGAGCTCTGCTCCCCGGAGGACAGAGTCGCGCTTCGTAGACGTTGTGTAGACGGCGCCTGTCTGTCGCTCCCGCTCTCACCAGTGCCGCGCGAGGTAATTAAAGTTGAACTCGAACTGGCTCAGCACGTCTCCGCCTGCGGGAGCAAAACACGACACGGGGGTCAGAGACCACAGGAGCAGCGCTGCCCACACGGTTCCTGCAACCTGAACCGTGAGCGCTCGACACTGTTACACGCGTCTGCTCAACCGTTACACGCGTCTGCTCAACCGTTACACGCGTCTGCTCAACTGTTACACGCTTCTGCTCAGTTGTTACACGTTTCTGCTCAACTGTTACACGCGTCTGCTCAACCGTTACACGCTTCTGCTCAACTGTTACACGTTTCTGCTCAGTTGTTACACGTGTCTGCTCAACTGTTACACGTTTCTGCTCAACTGTTACACGCGTCTGCTCAACTGTTACACGTGTCTGCTCAACCGTTACATGCGTCAACCGTTACACGCGTCTGCTCAACCGTTACACGTGTCTGCTCAATGTTACACGTTTCTGCTCAGGTGTTACACGCGTCTGCTCAGGTGTTACACGCTTTTGTTTGTTGTTTTAGGTGCAGGCATGTCTTTATGGAAGTTGATCTTTTAAAATCTTAGCGAGTGAAGCATGAATTGAGGGGGAAAGTGACCCCATAACCAAAGTGCTTTTCACGCTAAGGAAAGACGGGCCGCGACGTTCCTTCAGATGCCACCGCTCACCATCCCGGTTGGATATTTACAGGTAACTGCCTACAGAGAAGGGACAGCAGCTACCGACCAAGAGCTGGTGCGTTAGCAGACACGAGGTCATGAACGTCCATCTGATATAAAAGTAAAGTGTTTCTAAAACTATAACACAAGTCAATCAAATGTGATTTAAAAAAAAAAAAATACACATGTACACAACCGCTCGGAAGTGCATGGCTGTTAAACGAGGTGTGCCTGTGCGCTGGGTGAAGCACATTAGAGCAGAAAGCAGTCAGTATGTGCTGCTGGCAAGATATGACAAAAACAACATATATATATATATATATACAGCCCGGCTGGCGTGGCTCAGTGGTTGGGCGTCCACCTATGAACCAGGAGGTCAGGGTTCGATTCCCGGTCAGGGCACAGGCCCGGGTTGCGGGCTTGATCCCCAGTAGGGGGCATGGAGGAGGCATCCGATCCATGATTCTCTCTCATCATTGATGTTTCTAACCCTCTCTTCCTCTCTGAAATTAATAAAAACGTATTTAAAAATACACTTTTAAATAGTGGGCTCATTGCACATGAAATCTACCACAAAAGAAACCTTGGCAAGTGAGAAAACTTACCAAAATCTCCAGCCGGATGCGCCTCGGAGTAGGAGCCGTGAAAGTCCATCTGAGGAGCAGAGAACCAACGTCTCAGGCATCACCGAGCAGCCGGCTCCTTCCCCGC